TCGGCCTGAGTAGGCGCTTTATTCACTTGTTTCGAGTGATATGAAGCGTTGTCCATTATTATGATAGAAGGCTCTGGCAGGCTGGGTAATAATTGATTTTCGAACCAATTCGTAAAAGTGTCTGTATCCATCTCCTCGTGGTAATCGGAAGTACTTTTTGACGCGAAAGCCAGCAGTCCATTTTCAAAGAAACCACTTCCAGCAGAACCGGCGTGACAAATTATCAGTCGCGATCCTTTTCCAATTGGAACCTTTGAGGTTGATGCTTTTGTTTCGTCAGTCCAAGAGCGTGACACAGTGTGGTTCGCATTTAACCATGTTTCGTCAACAAAAACGACGTTGTCCCAAGACTCGATTTTTCTGGCTTCTCTTAAAAACTCGCTCCTTTTAATTATTAAATCAAATCTTTCCATTAATATTTTCCTTTTATTCGTTCTTTTATATTCAAACCCAATTTCGTGCAATAGTTTTGACAACGCCGTTTTACCGCCTTTAAACAAGCCAGCTTCTTTTAAAGAGACCAAAAGCAAACGTCTAGTTGGAAACTCGTTCCTAGTATAATAACCATATATGTGGTTTCTTATTGCATCTGCATCAAAAACATCAACACCTGTCACGGGCTTTTGTCTTCGTTTTTTCTTAGGAGTGCGTAAAACATTATCTTCACTTCCAGAAGCACCAAATTTTTCTTTATTTATATTATATAGTGTTTTTGCACCAATTCCAAAAGCTTGTTAAACCCGATCTTTCACTTGAGTGACAGGAATCAAAGGGCCGCCATTTTGTGACTCACGCTCAAAGTAATCCTGTAGCTTTAGTACAAGCTCACGACATTGACTATTCAATGTTTTTCCTCGTTTCGGCATTTTCAACAAAATTACCAAACACAAACAAAATTAGTCCAATAAAGCGCAACGATAAACAGGAGAAAGCCGAGTCAAAAAACAACGGTTACACAAGAGAACGTAGTCTGTGCGCACGAGAGTACGGAAGACGACTAAACAGTAGGCGCAAAGAGTATAATAAGTATATACAGGAAAAGAGAGCCCTCTGACGATATTTTATTGCAGACAAAATTGAACTACTAGCGTCTCCTACAAATTGAATCCGAACTAATTCGCTATATATAGCTATATTATGTACATCATATTAATGTAACTATTATGTTCTTTAATTCGCATACTTACTGAAACAATTTTTACTTTTTTTTGTAAAATAATTTCTACTTTTAATATTAAAAGTAGGTAAATAGTTTCAATAAGTACACTTGTATTTGTGAGATAATAATATATAAAAAGGATATTTGCGATGTTACAGGAATGACAATTTAATATGACAATTATTTCATTTTTTATTTTTATTTTTTATTATAAAATGCTGGTTGCCAGTATCATAATTGTCATATTTATCGATTGATTCGATAATTATTACGTGTTTTTATGTTAAAATTATAATTTTTTATCAATAAAATCACCAATAATTTTTTGGTGCACTTATTTTTATTTTGTAAGTAAATTTCATTTTATTTTTCCAAAGTAGCGACATCTGTGAAGCCACAAGACCAACTATAAACAAATTATTTTTGGAAACAAGTTATGGATGGCGCCACCATCCATTAAATTTTTGTGGTTCAAGGCAACTGTCCTACGCCTGAGTAGGCGTGTGACGTAGTGATTATATTCTCTAAACAGAATATAAATACTCAGGCTGGTGCAACTTCCATAGTAAAAATTATATGTACTACAGGGGTCAAATTTTAACATTGTCAAATGAAATAGGTTCAAATGTCAAATCAAACAATTATAATTATATATATTTTACTAATTAAGATTGCTTTTAATTTTGCTATAGGAGCCGTTGTTCATTTACAGAATTGTTAAGAAGTTAAAATATGCATTATAAAACTTTCCAATTAAATGGTGCAAGAAGCGGAAAAAATGATAACAAGAAAAGGCTATTCCTAACAATATTTCCCTTAGACGATGAAAGGTATTTGGTGATTTCAACTTTAATAGTAATATGATATTCAACGCGAGTATATTTTTGGACTAGCCATCTATGTAGGACATGTTTTTATAGTGTACGAATACAAACACACTATTTCCTAAATGTGATAGTTCGATGGTTTGGCAATCCGAAACAAACTATACTTAGAAACTACAAGTCAATTCTGACTGCTAACATTCTATTTATTCAATAATAATGTGATTTTATTTATATTATTTTTTCAGATGCAAGCAATGGGTGAAATAGCTGGCACATGCACCAATTGAAAAGATTCACATGTTAAGACATATTTGTGACAAATATTGCATATGAACCCAACTAAAACGAACTGTTATTTCTTTAGTGGACTTACTTTAAACTTCCACAATTTATGTGTATGTTAATTAGGTTTCATTTACATGTAGCAAAAGATAATATCCCTCTAAAGTCACATTTTGTTAAGAATAAGATTATATAACTAAATCATTATATTATTCATCAATAAACATTAGCTATAATGAGCACTTATTTTGAAAGCGACAATTAGTAAACGATCTCTGCGAATAGTATGTACATAGGTGCCTCTGTGAAGAAGCCTAGCGATTTGTACATAGTATTTGTTACACATAAAAGTAATTTAATCCAATCAGTCTTAAAAAGCCAATATTTTTACCCTTAAAAAAACTAACGTTGAAAACAAGCATCCAGACGCAGACTATTTATTTTACAGCATAGCAGCAATTGTTGAGTGCGGGAAGGAAGCCTCGGTCCTGCAGTGTCGCAGCCAAACGCTTAGCCACTGCGCTACGGAGTCGTCATTTATTTTTTACTTAATTAATTACTAGTATAAAAGTGCGTTTTTTATTTTATATTTCCTTTATGCTTACTTTTGTACCTAATTGTAGAGATATAAATACAAATTGCTGTGTGTAAAATACATTGATTTCTAATCCTCATCGGCATTTTTACTCAATCCACACGTTAAAAATTTTATTTCTCATAAATAATTCAGTATAGAGATCATACTTTTCTTATGTAAAAATATCGATAAAATTATTCGAGGATAGACATTTACAGCACTATTGTAATTCGTCAATGTTGCCAGCACTGTTTCTCAAAACTAAATGTCATATCTTGATGTTGGTAGAGTAACTTGGCGTAATTTCATGCAATTATTCTTACTATGGAAGTCCCGCCTCTTAAACGTAGTGATTATATTCTCTAAACAGATTAAAATAGCGGTGGTAAGGGTGTTGCCAGAATAGTATCGCCAATTACTTAAAAAAATACACCTATAACATTGCTTAATTGAGGGAGAAAATTATATTTATTAAATGTTGTTTTATATATTATGAATGTTAAAAATTATACATAATCATTTTAATTGTATTTATTTTAAAATCATAGAAAACAGTATTTCTGTCTTTGGATCACACATAAATCTTAAAAATCATAGAGATACTGGCAACACAGTGCAATTAGGAGACGCAAAAAAATGGTAGCATTATAGTCTAGTTGCTCGAAGGAATAAGTAAAATAAAAATATCCAAATAAAATAAATATCATATCTATTCCAATGAATTTGGACCGAATACTATCAAGCACACCACTATGAAAACTAGACGCACGATGTAACTTTGTACAAGCGCGCCAAAGAACAAAAAATAAATGTTTTCATATTATTTACAAACTATTTTAAGTTTTGAAACAGAGTTTATTGGAAAATTACTTGATTCTGACATTTTGACATAAAGTTTTATATTAAAGAGGTATTCTAAATCATTCGGCAAATGTGTCGCTCGTGCAAGGTTATATCGATTAATTTAAGAATAATCTGTCAAATCGGTAATAACTAGGCATGGGTAATATCACTTTTACCCTGTATCAAATCGTACCTATGTATTGGATATGAAAATCCGATTTGGTATCTATATATTTCAATATCTATACATTTGTTAATATCTTCGTTCTGAAAAGAAGTCAGTACTCAGTATCACATTTGTGATACGCGATTTATGAACAAATTTCCATATATTGATTTATAGATATATTGTATTATTTATGTAATATAAGTATTCTTAACGTATCTCATAATATAAAAAGTAGGATTTATTCTGCGAGATAATGAAATAGAATATTAAATTTAATCGTGTCGTGTTTATGCCATCTAGCGTATAATGTACGTACCACATTGAGCGTTAATCAATTTTTGTTCAATAAAATCACTTTACGTATAGAATCTAGAAGGTGGCGCTTTTACAAAGTATTTTTTTACTCCTTTCCTCTAAAGGATAACATTTTAAAAATATTTAATATTATTTTAATTTATTACACTTAACTTTAGGCTCTCCATGTTTAAAAATAAGGATTGCAACATTTATTTGCTATAAAATTAAACCTTTATATTTTATGCCACACTTGTGGTTATGATTAGTGGTTATATTATATCCCTACGCCAAAGGAAATTATCCCATATCTAGAAAGCGGGTATAGTTTTTCAGAATCGGTGAAATAAACTTTCCTTCATAATTTTGTTCAGTTTTAATTTACATACCAAAAATAACAATCTATTAAATACACAATAAGATCTAAAATCTAATAAAATCTAGATCTATTTTGAAAACAGTGCAACACAACAAAGTAATAATAAAATTATACTACTTAGACTGGATATTGAAAATTATGTGTTCTGTAATAAATCGTATGTCACTACTAATAAGGATTTATTAAAAATATTAAGCGTAAGCGTATCACCTTTTCGTTGTAAAGTAGTCGTAAATCGTAATATCTGTTTTAGCTATATATTCTATAGCGCTCAAGGTTTGTTCGGTATCCGAATCAGTGTATATATTTAGATATTTTACGTTTCGCTTTTGAGTAGATATTAGATATTCTGCGATGACTCATAATATCAACACCGTATCGTAAAATCGTAATATCTAATACATAGTTAGTTTGTCATCGGATATATAGATGTTGGATATTGTACTGATATATAGATATTGTATCTATATACGATTTGTATCGCCCACTCCTAGTAATAACTCAGCGGCCGTACTATAAAATTTTTAACCCCGGTTTATTGATGAAAAAGAGAATTCAATAATATTAAAGCAATGGCCTTTAGTGAACTTTGTAGAATTTGTTTATGCGTTAATGTACGCATGTTTGTACTAAAGGAGACTGGTCTCAAAAATTTATACAAAACATTGACGGACACTTTTGTAAGTTTGTTAATATTTTTTAAATATTGCAAATTGAAGTTGCGGTAATTTGATGTTATCGCCGGAGAAATACATTATAACTTGCCTTAATGCTGCTCTGATTTGTATGGTGAGTTTAGAGAACCGGAAACCCTTTTTACTGAGGCGGGTTGTTCCATCTTGGTTCTCTGGGGTGACAGCACATCTGCATTTTGATTCAGTCACACACGGCGAATATTCGTTGCAATTATTACTCGCAGCGACAATTCGCTGCCTGCCTGTCACACAGCGAGTACTACACGAGAATTATGTATAATATGTATTTTTTTATTATTAAATTTTTTTCTCAATTGCTCTTGGGTTGCTATTTCGTATCCCAACTCTACACGACAAAGCTTTAGTCATTTTGAAGTGATGCCTCTAAGTTGTGTGTTGTTTGAATACTACAATAATGATTATCGAAATTTTCTAGATCATAATGTCCATATATTGTTTTATATGTTTCAATCAAGTCTCCTCATTCTCTGTGATCTTTCTGAGTTGTATGTTTAAGTGTTTTGAGACTTTCCTCATGTAGTATGTTCTCAATGATCTAGAATCTTTTGAATATCTGTGTTGAAGCTTCTCCAGGTTGAAAATATGTTTTATATATTTTTAGTATCAATTCTGGTATTATTATTTGCCTTTGTTCCAACTGCAGTTTTTTTATTATTCTGACCTGTTACTAGGAAAATCCTGCTGCCCATAGCCTTATGAGATAAAATAATCTAATTGTTAGATGTCCAAACCCTTCTGGAACTTACTTCATACTGTTATTGATATTAATTTAAAAAGGTTAAAACTGCTAGGGGATGTATATTGTTATTAACATCCATTTGAAAGTAAGTGACAGTGGTAGTTAAGGGTTCAGATTGCAAACTCAAGAAGGTAGTAAGTTCAAATCTGTCATTCAACTATTGTTGTAAATTACTCCTAGTGCAAGCAGTTTCAGTTTACTTGGAGCAAATAAGAGGTGTTTGTAATGTTAATAGTGATGCTAGTAGTTTAATGTTAAAATATGAAAGTAGGTTCTCATGGACTGCAGTTGCCTCTTACCATCAGGTGGATTGTAAGTTTGTTTGTCACTTCAATATTATAAAAAATGATGTTGATGAAGAGAATTGTGGTAGCCAAGAGATTTTATTACAAACTTATATATATAAGTAGTTTTTCATATTTATTATAAACTTTCATATTTTCAGATGGATGAGAATGAGGGACCCATATTAGTCTGTTTCACTTGTCATGCAAGACTCAATCGTTGCAGAAGTTTACAACAACAGGCTATTGAGTCGAATGCAGTTCTGGAGCAGTTGCTTGCAGGAGCGTCCATGGTATTATCCATTCCATCTATTAAAACCTATAAAAGTCCACTGCTGAACGTAGGTCTTCCTCATAGATTGCTCCATAGGAGGGATTTTGACAAATTTGGTTGGCAACCGCAGTTTATATTAATCTGAGATATTATTAGGTAGATGCTGCTGCCCAACTCCTGTTTCTGTTTTCCTCTGTCACCCCTTACGACACCCATCCTGTGGGTATGTATATAGGGCAGTGGATATTCTTGCTCTGTGACTACACAATCAACCGTATTATACTTCTTTTAAATAAAAGTTAACTGCTTTATGGTTCACCCCATTTTTTTTAATAGGATAAGGGTGACAAACGAGCACACAGCCCACTTGATGGTAACTGGTTGCTGTGCCTCATAGACATCTACGTCTATCTTCGACTACGAATCAAGATGTGTTGTCACTCCTGAGGACTAAGATGAAATGCCTTGTTTCCAGCAAAAAAGGTCTCCAGTTCTGTACACTCACCCTACGAAACACAGCAGTGTTAAGCTACTATTTTATGCTGGTATTGTATGAGGGCGTGGTCCTTCCCCCTTTGAGCCGACCCATTTGTGCTACAACCATAATATAGCTGCAGCGTGGCTCTACCAAGTATGAAAAGAATCCCCATTATAATGAAGTATTTGCTTTAATCATCACTTGGCAGGCACCTTGACGATCATTACCTGTCTCGCGCCTTCTATGATGTGACACGTTGCCAATTGGGTGAATGTTTTTCTACTGCAATGTTAAGTTTACTTTTTTAGATTTTTGTTCTATATTTTATAAATTTCACTAAATGAAGAACTTATTTTTTTATTATATAACAGCTTCTACTGTTATATATTACCCTATTGTACATATACAAAATATTATCTATGGGTAATATTACACAATAAACAAAGATAAATCTTTGTCAATTTATGGCATTTGTGAATCTGATTCGAAAAAATTTTAAGTCTCGATTCTTGGGATGTATGAACTATCTACATTCTTATTTAAGTTTATTCAGAACTTACACTTTTGTTCGATTTTTATTATTATTTGGAGTTGTTGTCACTAAGATGCTGCTGCCCAACTTCTTTTTCAGTTTCCCTCTGTCCCTTTTTACGACATCCGGGGGATGGTATGTGGTAGTATGGATTCTACTATGACACCACTAAAATGGCTTTTTTTCTTATTAAAAAAAATAATTTGGTTTCAGTCAACACCAAATCCGCATAAGCCTAGATATGAAATTCAATTCACACCAATTTGTCATATAGATATCAGGCCAGTTGAGTGTGATACAGAAAATGATTGTAATGACGAAATTTTTAGTCTTGAATCTGTTAAAGTTGAGGAAGAAAATATCAAAGATGAGAATTCCAAATTTGAAGAAAATGGGAATCATGAAACAGGTAAGGATATACACATTTTGTGATATGGTTAAAATAAGTACAGTTTACCTAATGGCAAGTGGCAAGCAATTTATTACTGTAGCCCATGGACACAAAATAAGTGCTTCATATGCATGGTACTAGAATAGAATAGAATAGATTTTTTATTCAATATTGATTATTACATAGTACTTATTGAAAGTCACCTCTGTCCTGGGAGAACCAGCAAGAAACCTAGTAGGACTTTCTTTTTTCAAACATATTTCACTTAACAATAATTTTGTTTATATAATTTTTAAATGAATTTTCATAGAACCAGCATGGTGGCGATCACCTTATTTCCAGGGGTTATTTTCATTCATGTATTCCTTGATATTATAATAACCCCTTTTGTACAGTTTTTCTTTAATAAACTTTTAAATTTGTTTATTGACAAACTTTGAAGATGTTTTGGGATTTTGTTGTAAAAGCGTATACATTGCCCAATAAATAAATTATTGATTCTGTGGAGTCTAGTAACTGGCATTACTAGCTTATGTTTGTTCCTAGTGTTTAAAGTATGAACATTCTTATTCTTATTAGAGTTACTTATGTTTTTATGTACATACATTACATTTTCATAAATATATTGCGATGCCAAAGTTAATATGCTTATTTCTTTTAATTTTTCTGTGAGGAACTCTTTACAATTTAGGTTATAAATCAGCAGTACGGCTCTCATTTGCAAAACAAATATAGCTTCTTTACTTAAACTTTTTTGAATCTCTTGTCTTTTTTTATTATCATTTTGGCCAAAAGCTAATGTTGTGATAGATTTACCTGGTTCGATATTCAGTTTTTTGTTCCTCCCTTTTCCATTTCATTTGGTTTCCTATTTTCCTTTAAATATTCCAGTAACGTACGGTCTACAGTAAAATTTGGCTCATGCGGAAGGCCTTCAGGAAAATTTTTGTATACTTTTTGAGGATTGAACGGTACTATACCTGTTGCTTTGAATTCTTTTATCACGGTTTCTTTTTTATGCATATGTACTTCTTGCATAAGTTTTGCAAGGAGAAGCAGAAAGTGGGATTTATTAAGCCCCACTAGCTTTTGATTTTCATATTTATATGAGGTTAAAATTTTACGCCATACCTTTTTCAAAGGCCCAAAGAAAGCCACATCCAGCGGCTGAGTAAATTGGGTTGAATTAGGTGGCAGTAGCACAAACCGTATGTCATTTTTTTCGCATAATTTTATCACATCTATATTTATATGGGTGCAAAGGTTATCGCCAATTACGACCTTTGGACCTACTAAATGGCGTGCCCATGGCACAATTATTACATTGAACCAGTCATAAAATGTTATTGAGTCAAACCAACCACTTTTGGTTCTGTTAAATTGAGCATTCTCGGGTCCTCCTTCTACCCACTGCAATAACTGCATAAAAACTACCTTTTACCATTTCCGTCAACAAAATATGTAGCACAAAACGTAAATAATTAAATATTTCAGAATTAAACAGCTAACCAATTAGTAAGATCTTAGAAAAATGCCACAAAGAACAGAAAAACTTCAAAAAAAAAAAATTATATCTAAACATTAATAAAAAATTTGGTAGTAGATCCACGTCTACAGATCACAGTAACACATAAATGAGCAGGGTCGACCGGTGCGATACTACCCTCTCACAGAAAATCAGCGTGAAGTGGTTAGCTTCTTAGTGGCTGCCATGTTTCGTCTGGTGAGTGAGAGTTCCGGATGCCCGTTCCTTTTCCCCTTTTCTTAAGGCCACCCGAATGTTGACGTTTGCTAGATAAACCGATATGACGTTGTATTGTTCTAGGAGCTGTGATGTTGCATTTACTAACGAGTGTCTGGTGGTCTTTCCCCTTTCTTGAAGTTCCTACTCCCATTCCTACAAATCCTGTTCCTATACCTTATGAGAAGGCAACGCACAAGTAACACTCCTGTTGTTTCTTGTGTCAATGGGCAGCGGTGAAATCACTTAGCCATCAGGTGACCCGCTTGCTCTTTTTGCCTCTCTTATAATATACAAAAATTAAAATAAATACCTTTAGATAATATTATCTGAAATTGTGCCGCTGACAATTTATATAATGGCTGTAACAAAACAAAACATTTTTTCAGGTACAGTTTGAGAACATGAGACCATTTGTATGACTTTTGAAAACGGGGCAAGATGGAAACTTTTATGTTTATCTTACCCCGTCGAATATTGGCGGGTAAAGACGGAATGTTACAATAAATCCTAAAATCCAAAAAGTAGCGATATTTAGACATAGCAACATAACTACTAATTAAAAATAATAAGTATGTATACAAATAAAAAACTCGTACCTACCTCGTAAATCAAGTTACACGACACGGGGTAAGATTAAAACACCCGACTTGCTCGCGTAAAATTCACAGCGTAGATATTCCCTTATTACACACAACCGATCCCTCAAAACGACAAGTGCCGACTTAGGTGTGGTACGTAACAAAATGGCGGTCTTATGAATGTTGCCTGCATTGGATAAATGACACAAAATCTGTCTTTACTGATGCCTTTTTGTGTTACCCCGTTTTTCATCTTCCCCCCACTCACCCTATAAGATGTTGTTAGGTTAGCTAATTACGTAATAACACTTAAGACAGAAGGACCCTTAAGTAGGGACTGAATAAATTAACCGACTTGGTATTACATGGATATCACAACTTTTTACGGTAGAAGAACTGAGTTGCGATACTTGGTTTTTTTTACAAGTTTGTTTTTCATGGCATCTCATTTCTTTTTGTAGAAAGTTATATCTAGGTACCTATCTACACCTATTATTCCATTATATTATACATAATAATATATAGGTACACAGATTCATTCACTGCAAATGTAACTTTGTAATCCTATATATTTGTATTGGATTACAAAATTATTTATGCAGTTGGTGTATCTCGAAAACTGGACCGAAATTGCAAAATATTTTAATTGTTCCTTGATTTATATTTTTTTTATAGGATAAGGGTGACAAACGAGCACACAGTCCACCTGATGGTAAGTGGCTGCTGCGGCCCATAGACATCTACATCTATCCTCTATTACAAATTAAAATGTAGATGCGTTGTCACCCGTGAGGACTAAGATGGAATGCCTCATTTCCAGTAAAAAGGGCCTCCGGCCACCTGCACTCACCAAGCGAAACGCAGAGGTAAACCTCTACTTCACGCTGGTTTTCTGTGAGGTCGTGGTACCACCCCGGTTCGAGCCGGCCCATCCGTGCGACAGCAAAAGCTGCCGCATGGCTCTACCACTGTTAAAAATATACTAAACAGTAATTGTATTCAAAGTTAGAAGCTTCTATGTTTGCTAGAAGTGCCTTAGAGTTTTGATGATCGGACAGTCAGTGAGTGACAAAATTAAGGAACTTTGACTAGTTATAATACTTAAACGACTGGTTCAAATTTAATGAAATTTGAAATATACTGAGCTTATACAATGCCTACTTGGTTACTGATTCAGGCTTCTAGCTTTATCCACAACGAATTTATAGGGTTTCGAACTGCTTCGAGAAAAGTGGTAGGTACGGCCGTGCCGCTTTTTTGCTCGATTTGGCGGGGGAACTGCCATGCCCCCAGATGTTCTACCCTCCGTACTAGTTTTTGACATAACTATCAATGTTACCAGTTGGAAAAATATAAAAAATGTTACCCTAAACTATGAAAAAATATTATATACCAAGTTAGTTTATAAAGAGATTTTGAAAATTTAACTTTAATTCAAATACAACGGTAAGGTAATGTTGTCAAGGGTTGTGTAAAGTTGCCACGTTTTACGGTACCAAGAAAACCAGTGGTATCCACAAGACTCAACTCCTCCCCATTTAACAGCACATTGGTATTCGAATGTTTTACATTAGGTATTGTAAATTTAATACACTTTGTCTTATTGCCGTTTAAGAGCATATTGTTGGCGTTAAACCAATGTACTAATTTTGATAGAGCATTATTTACATCGTCACAATTAATTGACTAATTTACCGATTTACCTTTGCTTAAATTCAAAGTGCATGTAAAAAGCACTCTTATGGGGAAATAGAATACACATTAAGGGGCTACTCCATGCGAACGACCTTGAGCATTTTGCCGGCGGCACGTCGCTCGCTTCAATATATTGCTTATTTGAAATATGTACGACGCCACCACCTATTGTAGGTACGAACGTAGTATTATTTTTTCAACATCAATGAACTAATTTATGGAAATACACACAGCGTACAACGATAAATGTATTTTAATTTTTTTATTCGGTATATTAGTTGCATTATATTAGAATTATGTATTTTCATATATTATCTAATTATGAAATTTTATAATTAATTATATATTAAAAATGAAGCATTGAAAATTGTGTTTAAAAGATACCTATTCACTATAGGTAAATAAATAGATAGCTCGCCTTTTGTACAAATATTTGGTGCAATAAAGAATAAATAAATAAATAGGATGTTTCGTAGATGTGTTTTTGATTATTGTTAATTTTTACGTGTCACGTATTGAAAAGTAATATACCTACCTACTAATACAAAAATCAACAAGAAGTATAAGGGTTCAATCTTTCAAATTCAATTGTAAAAAAACGTTACCCCCACACTAGGATTTTCTCCTGTGTCGTGGAGGCAGTTTACAAACATAAATTGCACAAGGACAAACATCCAGACCCGGAACAATTATTTGTAGGCCATACAAATATTTGTTCCGTGCGAGATTCGAACCCGCGGCCCCCAGCGCAACAACTGATTGCTAACCCACTACGTCACGGAGCCGTCGCCGGGTTATAGCTAAAGTGACCATACGTCCCGTTTTGAACGGGACTGTCCCTTTTCTCGGTCACCTGTCCCATTGTCCCCAAACAAAGCTCCGGGACACAAAATTGTCTCGTAACTCGTTGGATGGAAGTATTCAAAGTCAACAATCTTCAACATAATTTTTTTTTAATCGAATATATTTTATGTCTACCTGGTACGAATGCTCCGGTAGAAAGAGTATTTTTTTATTTTGAAATAATTGTGGACGTCTGAAAGAAACACTTACGGTTACAGAGTTCTAAAGGCGATGTTGTTAACAAAGCTAACAATAAAAAAACTTGAGCAGAATTTTATTTTTATTTAAAATCATCACCAACTTTATTAAAGCAAATTTAATCCACTGACAAATGTAATTAATAATTAAAAAAAATATGTTGCATTTAATAATTACCGTCTATACCGAATATAATTTTACAGTGAACACTAATTGTATAAAGTTATAGTTTTTAGAGTATAAATAAACCCAATTCCTGTTTTGAGTTAAAAAATAAATGGTCAGTTTAGTCTTTTTAGTTAAATTTAGTTTTAAAAATTTTTAGTTAATAGTAAAAAGTAGGTATATTAGTACCTACTTAGATACTTTTTACCGAATTATAAGTATAGAACACCTTATTTACTCAATTATTTTTTGAAAAAGAAGAAAAAACAAGCAATAAATAATATACTATATTTTAGCAAAAAACTACAACTTAGTAATACTAATTATAACTTAGTACATAAATGAAAAACTCATAACTGACTTTTTGGCCCGACCCAGGATTCGAACCCGGGACCTCATGATCTGCAGTCGCACTACTACAACCACTAGACCAACGAGGCAGTACTATACTTAATAAGATATTGTGGTTGGGTGATAATATTGAATTAGCCTTTTATAGTGTAAATTATAATATTTGTCGAAATTTTAATTATGGATTCGAACCTTACATGCTAATGGTGCTTCATTTTTTTATTTGCATTTACTTCAAAGAAAATACACGCAAAAAGCTTCATCGCGCAGTAAAAAACACAACAAATATATGTATAACTAATACGAAAAATTATACCCAAAACAAACAAATAATACTACCTATAAATAACCTAATAAGTAATAATATTATAATATTATCGACTAATAAGATGACGTGAGCCCACACGGCGCTGGCAGACGCTCTAACGACACGGGTTCCACGTCGAAGAGCTCAGGGCTCACTGACTTCAGCAAGCCCGTGAGCAGTGAATACGCCCAGATTTTAAAATAATTTCTTAATAAAATCAAATTTTGGTCTTTTGAAAAAAAATTTACTATAGAAATGTTCATTAATAAATTGCCTATCCATTGGTGTAAATCGCAAAATAAAATAATACTTACTTTACGAGGAGATGCATGTTATCAATAATAATTTCACATTTATGTGGTTTCGTTGTAAGGAGATTATATTAATATATATTCCTTTAAAAAAAAATTGGATATAGCTTTTATGGAATCAAGATTATGTAGAAATATAATGTGTTTTTTATTTGTTGATATATCTCTTAAATAAAAAGTAGATAGCTCCTAAACACCGCACAAATAACGACTAACGTGACATTTTGCTCAACCTGCGCCTTAAATGATTATGTGAAAGATAAGCATGTTAAGCATGGACATTGTAATGAGCTACGTTAGACAACGCAAGTTTTTTTTTTTAATTTTAAGGTTTTTAAGGTTTTAACTATAACTTTTTCAGTGAAGTAATTCTTAGAGATGTTTTTGTTAGTATTATGGGTAGAATGTGTGTTCGTATGTAAAAACACTAAACATCAAAATTCTCACTACTAGTAGCTCAGATTTAGCTAACAAAATTAAAATTTCCGTTTGAGAGAAATATTTATTTAATTTCAACTTGAGAAAAATATTACTTAGACCTAACTAAATAACTTCCTAATAATTTCAAAACCTTTATGGGTTTCTTAGCTCTCAAAATAACACAAAAAAGTTGGTACTTTATGTGAATTTATCTACAAAAAATACTGGTCAATATGTATGTATGTATAACACTTTTTCCGTGTGGTTTTCGAAACAGTGATTATTAGAATAATGTAATTATAACATGACAGAAGAACGTCATTATTATTATTCGAATTTAATTTCTTTACCATTCTTTCCACCCAAAAATGAATATGAGAGACATTATTCAGAGTTGGCTAAAATACTTTATATCTAGCAATATTATATGAGTATGATGATTTGCCGTGTAGTGGCGGTCAAGAATATCCACTACCCCATATCCTCCCGTGGGTGTCGTAAAAGGCGACAAAGGGAAACAGGCAGAAGATGGGCAGCAGCATCTCCCTGATAATAGCCAAAATTATAATAAAAAAACTGCGGTTGCCAACCCGCTCGCCAAGCGTGGCAACTATGGCAAATACCCCCCAATGACTAAAGCAACAAACAGACGGCCCCCAGTCCCCGGCGGCCCCGCTATTCCTGGCTACGGTGGCGACCATGGTAACGACGGGGCAGGGGGTGCTAAGAATCTCCGGTGGAGGTTCGGTTGCCACCTTAGACGACTCGACCTGGCAACGTACAACGCACGCACCCTGGGGACTGACGAGAAGATCGTGGAGCTGGAAGAAGAGATAGACAAGTTGCGCTGGCATATTATCGGATTATCCGAAGTCCGAAGAGAGGGGGAGGACACGGTAATCCTCGAATCCGGCAACTTGCTCTATCACCGGGAGGGCGACCATCTGTCCCAAGGAGGTGTCGGATTTATCGTCCACAAGTCTCTCGTTAACAACGTTGTAAAGATCGGGAGTGTGTCGACGAGGGTTGCGTACCTTATACTCAGAATCACCAAACGGTATTCGCTGAAGGTCATACAGGTTTACGCACCAACCTCGTCACACCCCGATCAGGAGGTGGAGGAAATGTATGAGGATATCTCTAGAGCCATGCATTCCTCCAAAACCCAATATACGGTGTTAATGGGAGACTTCAATGCAAAACTAGGCACAAGAGAGAACGGTGAGCTGAAAGTAGGGAAATTTGGAATAGGGCAACGGAACCCAAGGGGCCAGCAGCTGGCCGACTTCATGGAGAAAGAGGGACTCTTTATGATGAACTCTTTCTTCCAGAAGCGGCCCCACAGGAAGTGGACCTGGTCGAGCCCCGACGGTTCGACAAAAAATGAGATTGACTTCATTATGACGACCAGACGACAACTGTTCAGTGATGTCTCCGTGATCGCGAGGGTGAAAACTGGTAGCGATCACCGAATGGTTAGAGGCACACTGAACCTAAACGTTAAGTTGGAGAGGTCTCGTCTAATGAAGTCAACGCTCCGTCCCCCTCGTGCTCTAATCCAAAGTCCCGAAACCTTTCAGCTCGAGTTACAAAACCGTTTTCAGTGCCTAGAAGACTGCAATGAAGTGGACGATTTGAATGACAAGCTCGTGGAAACTGTCCATGCGCTCGGAGCTAAGTTCTGCAAGACCCGCCGCAGAAGAACACAAAAACTCTCCGATCACACTCTTAATCTCATGGCTTTTAGACGGGAGATGAAGCTACATTCTTCAACAGACTTGACAGCATACAGGCATCTGAACAGACAGATCTCCAAATGCATGCGGCGGGACTTACGCAACTTCAATACAGCTCGTATTGAAGAAGCGATAGAGCGGAACCAAGGCTCCAAAGTCTTTGCCAGAGATCTGTCTGCCAGAAAGAGCCAACTGTCAAAGCTGAAGACCGAATGTGGCAGCATCGTTTCCGGGACACCTGAGATTTTGAGTGAGATTGAGAGGTTCTATGGGCAGCTGTACACGTCATCGTTGGAGCCACACGCAAGTGTGAGTAACGATCCAAGAGCGAGTCTCATCCGACACTATTCCGAAGATATCCCGGACGTCAGTCTGAGCGAGATTAGAATGGCTCTCCAGCACCTTAAAAACGGTAAGGCCCCAGGCGAGGATGGAATTACAGCGGAGCTTCTGAAAGCGGGTGGAAGACCGGTACTTGAAGTCCTTCAGAGGCTCTTTAATTCCGTCCTCCATGGTGGCATTACACCGGAGGCGTGGAGCAGAAGTGCGGTGGTCTTGTTCTTCAAGAAAGGTGACAACGCTCTCTTGAAGAACTACAGACCGATTTCCCTTCTGAGCCGCGTCTACGTGCTGTTTTCGAGAGTCATTACGAATCGTCTCGCGCGCAGACTTGACGACTTCCAGCCTCCCGAACAAGCCGGTTTCCGAAAGGGCTTTAGCACCATAGACCACATACATACCCTTCGGCAAGTTGTACAGAAGTCCGAAGAGTACAATTTGCCACTATGTCTGGCGTATGTGGACTATGAGAAAGCCTTTGATTCCGTCGAAATTTGGGCGATGCTGCAGTCCCTTCAGCGGTGCCAAGTTGACTGTCGGTATATCGAAGTGTTGAAGTGATTGTACAGTAGGACTACGATGGCTATCCGAGTACAGAACCAGAGTAGGAAACCTATCCAATTGCAGAGAGGTGTAAGACAGGGTGACGTCATATCCCCGAAACTTCACCGCTGCATTGGAAGACGTTTTCAAGCTTCTGGACTGGAAAGGATACGGTATCAACATCAATGGCGAGTACATCACTCACCTTCGATTTGCCGACGATATAGTCCTTATGGCAGAATCGCTGGAGGGCCTAAGCACTATGCTCAATGACCTCAATAGTGTTTCCCAACGGATAGGTCTTAAGATGAACATGGACAAAACAAAGATCATGTTTAATGTCCATGTCACACCTATGCCGGTAGTTGTTGGGAGCACTAAGCTCGAAGTTGTTGACGAGTATGTTTACCTGGGACAAATAGTCCGGCAAGGTAAGTCCAACTTCGACCGAGAGGTCAATCGACGGATTCAACTCGGCTGGGCAGCGTTCGGGAAGCTACGACACATATTCTCGTCAGACATACCTCAAAACCTTAAAACGAAATTGTACAACCAGTGCGTGTTGCCAGTGATGACTTATGGAACTGAGACGTGGTCCTTCACTGCTGGCCGTGTGAGGAAGCTCAAGGTCGCTCAGCGAGCTATGGAGAGGACTATGCTCGGAGTTTCTCTGCGTGATAAACTTAGGAATGAGGATATCCGCAGTAGAACCAGAATAACCGACATAGCCCAACGAATTAGTAAGCTCAAGTGGCAGTGGGCCGGCCATATAGCTCGAAGAACCGACAACCGATGGGGAAGAAAGGTTCTCGAGTGGCAGCCTCGTACCGGTAGGCGAAGTGTAGGGCGTGATGAGATGGAGTGACGACCTGGTAAGACATGCAGGAAGTCGATGGATGCAGGTGGCTCAGGACCGTGCTTTGTGGCATTCTTTGGGGGAGGCCTATGTTCAGCAGTGGACTTGTGAAGGGCTGTAATGATGATGATGATGATGATGATTATGTAAAATCTTAAAAATTTCTCTGTTTCTCTCTGTGTTGATTAATGGAGAATGCCATAAGGCATATACTCCACCCATTGTAAACCGTCTAAGGTATCTTGCAATAAAGATACAATGTTTTAAATAAAATGTTTATTTTTTGTGTATTTCAGAACATTACCGCATACAAACAAATAAATCAAATTCTACTGATTGTAATATAAACGATGGTCGTAAAGAAAACCTGAAAAAATATAGTCAACCAGTTATTGAAAAAGGGAACCATTCTGCTAAGATTTTTAAAAAGAAAATTTTGAAACAAAGGAGTCGAAATATACTTACGAAAAAATCATCAGGGGCATCAACAAATGACATTTTCGCCGAACTCATTTCACACAGTCATAAAACGCAAAAGAACTCTGACATCACTGCAATTCGGACACAAGTTGAACAATCTCCAGTAGCACAACTTACGGAAATATTTAATTGCGATATTTGCGAATTTAAAACATCTCATAAAAGTAGCATTTTGGCACATTTTAAAGCGCACGCTGCTAAACAAGTGTTCTGTTGTAATAATTGTGATCATAAATATACAAATAAAACAAGTTTGATATACCATATGAAAATACATACCGGAGAAAAACCTTTTTCGTGTAATGTCTCTGAATATAAATGTATTCAAAAAAGTAATTTGCGAAAACATATGAAATTACATACCGGAGAAAAACATTTTTCGTGTAATAATTGTGATTATAAATGTACAAATAAAAAAAATTTGATATACCATATGAAAATACATACCGGAGAAAAACCTTTTTCGTGTAATATCTGTGAATATAAATGTATTCAAAAATGTAATTTGCAAACACATATGAAATTCCATACCGGAGAAAAACCTTTTTCGTGTAATGTCTGTGAATACAAATGTATTCAAAAAAGTAAATTGCAAACACATATGAAAATACATACCGGAGAAAAACCTTTTTCGTGTAATATCTGTGAATACAAATGTATTAGAAAATATTCTTTGCAATCACATATGAAATTCCATTCCGGAGAAAAATCTTTTTCGTGTAATATCTGTGAATATAAAAGTAGTAGAAAAATTGATTTGCAATCACATATGAAAATACATATTGGAGTAAAACGTTTTTCGTGTAATATCTGTGAATATAAATGTGTAAGTAAGGGTAATTTGCAAAAACATATGAAAATACATACCGGAGAAAAGCCTTTTGCGTGTAATATCTGTAAATATAAATGTATTCAAAAAAGTAATTTGCAAAAACATATGAAAATACATACCGGAGAAAAGTCTTTTGTGTGTAATGTCTGTGAAATTAAATATATTCGGAAATGTAATTTGCAAACACATATGAAATTACATAGTGGAGACAAACCTTTTGCTTGTAATATCTGTGAATATAAATATATTCGAAAATGTAATTTGCAAACACATATGAAATTACATACCGGAGATAAACCTATCGTGTAATATCTGTGAATATAAATGTATAAGAAAATGTACTTTGCAAACACATATGAAAATACCGGAGAAAAACCTTTTTCGTGTAATATCTGTGAATACAAATGTATTGGAATATAAATGCAAACAAATATGAAATTACATACTGGAGAAAAACCTTTTTTGTGTAATATCTGTGAATATAAAGGTATCCAAAAAAGTAATTTGCAAAAACATATTAAAAAAAATACCGGACATAAACCTTTCGTGTAATATCTGTGAATATAAATGTATTCAAAAAAGTAACTTGCAAAAACATATGAAAATACATTCCGAAGAAAAACTTTTTTCGTGTAATATCTGTGAATATAAATGTGTTACAAAATGTTATTTGCAAAAGCATATGAAAATACACATTGTAGAAAAATCTTTTTCGTGAGAGATCTGGTAAAATATGTACATATTATGTAAATGTGTTTTTATATACAGAATAAGGACCCACATATATGCAATAAATGAAACCACATACTTGTTATCGCTTTTGCTGACGATATACAAAAATGAACGTAATCGGTCCAGTAATTAGGTCAAAAAGTAGTTTTAATTTTAAGCAAATTTGAACTCTATAGAATTGGGTCACTAAGTCAATGATTCAATGAACTTGAATCCTTGAACATTAAAAAGCGACGTTGCCACCCAGTGCAAAGTATTGCGACGTATCGACAGCGGTGTCTTGGCGGCGTTCGTAAACAAGCGGCACGAGGCACGCGGCGTTCTTCAAACGCGACGGCGCAAGTGCGCGCGCGCCTTTGTCGTAGAGTAGGACACCTGTTATCGACGATTAGCTTATTTACATACATACATACATATAATCACGCCTCTTTCCCGTGGGGGTAGGCAGAGACCAGTTCTTTCCACTTGCTACGATCCTTACATACTTGTTTTGCTTCGTCCACTTTCATTATCATTTAATTTTTATGAAAGATTATATTATGAAAAATTATTATTTAAATTTAATGAAAGTGGACGAAGCTTATTTCAAAGGGAGTAATAATCGATAAACAAAAAAAAAATGTTTAGCTTTAAACACTCAGGTCATGGTTTTTTTAGAATTATCGTGTTGTTATGATAAATCTAAAAACACTATGACGTAAGTATTTAAAGCTAAACTTTAAACCTTTTTTTAGTTTAAATGTGTTCTTGTAGATTTAGAGATAATAAATTATTTTGACATGATAAAAAACCCATAAAAACAACCAATTAAAAAAGTCATACATACTTGCCCGTTTCTTAGGAAGTCACAAAACGGTAGTTTCGTAAGTTTAATTGTACAAAAATAAACTTTTCTTTTAACAATCAATAACTTGTCGATTGTTATCAAATCAAAAATCAAAATTACTTGTATTCAAATGTAGTAGGTAAGTTAGTGTAAAAAGAAAAGTATCGATAAACGATAATTGCACCTTGTGGCAGCCCTATTTATTACTTTTATTATTTTCGCCATTTTGGAATTTGGAAGTTTGGCTTCCAGTTCACGCGCAATTCTTCAAGAATACAGGTGCGTTTCGCTGCTTACGCGCATTGCTTCAAGTGATTTATTTTTTGTAAGATAAATACAATTAGTCAAACAGTTCTTTTACGGTGAAATAGACACTTATATTAGTTAATTGACTTTGTGTGTGTAAATAGCGTTTTAAGTACGTTTGTTTTTATTATTTTTTCACTGTGATATTGACACTACTTGACTTTTGTGTATACGTTTTGGCGGCGGAAAATGCCAAGACAACAGCATTTTTACAGTGCGGCAGAGTATACAGACATGGTTTTATTGTATGGCGAATGCCACCAAAATTCAGCGTTAACTCTGCGTACTTATCGTGAGAGATACGGCGCAACTCACGTCTGCCCTACTAGCATCCGTACAATCCTAGGTGCTGTCCAAAGAATCAGGGAAAATCAGCGCATAGTGCCAGACACTCATGAAGGAGTTGCACCGCGTCACATTCCACCCTCGTTCGAACAATGAGTCTTAGACCATTTCGATCGGAATCCAACGTGCAGCCTTAGACAAGGTGGGCGTGTGTTTACAGTGAGGCATAAAACAATACACCGAGTGCTGAAAAGGAACAAACTACGTCCTTATAAATATGTTAAGCTGCAGGCGCTGCTGCGCCGTGATAAGCCGATTAGAGAGTCTTACTGCCACTGGGTACTGGAAAAAATGTCTCAAGACCAACGTTTCCTAACAAATGTGTTTTGGACATATGAAAGCACGTTTACTCGTTTGGCATATGGAACCGACAATCCATGCGTTACTGGAGTCATACGAATCCGCATTTGGACGTGGTTATGCAAAAAGGATCCAACCCGAGTTTGTGTCAAAAATGTTGGCACTTGAAAAATAATGTTTGTGGTCTATACTATTATGTGCTGTAACAATTTTAGCAAAAGTAACAAGAATAAGAAGAAAAATTACAAACAGACAGAAATCATACCGATAGTTTGAGTTTATGATATTTGATGTATGGATACTTAAAATATTATAAACTCAAATTAACTTATCGCGGGTTGGATCCTTTTTGCATAACTACATCTATTTATTTAGGGAATCAGCTCATCAATACCGATTTTCCATTAATGTTTGGGCTGGCATTCACGGAGATCAAATAAACTGTCCTATTTTTATTGACCGAAACCTGAATGCACAGAAGTTTCTCAATATTCCTAACGGCCCAATAACAGAATATTTAGAAGGATTGTCTGTGGCAGCTTCCCAGAGGGTATGGTTCCAGTTAGATGGAGCTCCTCCACACTCCGTACTCCTCGCGAGAGAGCGGCTCAACACCATGTTCGGCGAACAATGGATAGGGCGCTATGGCCCTCGCAGGTGGCCAGCTCGATCGCCCAACCTCACTCCTCTAGACTTCTTTTTATGGGGCTTTATTAAAAATGAAGTGTACTCAAAGATCTCCGAAATCGAAGATGAACTGCGCAATCGTATTGTTGCCGCCTTTGCAAATTAAAAGCCCTGGCTTTGGATCCTGAACGAAATTTGTTGAGTAGGCTTCAGGACAACATTATGCGGCGATGTAACTTGTGCATTCAAGAACGTGGCGAACATTTTGAAAATTTTAAAATTTAGAGTTCCATTAAATTTTGCTACTAATATGCAATAATATTTATTTCGGTCAGTTCCATTTTCGCGAAATAAAAATGTGGCGGTAAAATACCTAAACAGTTTGTAAGTTTTTATTTCGTCGCAAATTGTCCAACGAACCATAGGCCGTACCGATAATAACGCTGCCTGCCGCCAACCGCCATGCCACCCGCGTGCAACGTTGTCACTCTTCCAAGGGGTCAAGTACGTTGTCTAAACAGAGTGTTTACTTTTACTGAATTTATTTTAATATTTATTTTGTTTGAAAATTTCGCTTTTTTATTTTACGAGTTTTAATTTAATATTTAATTTTTCTACATGTCTATGGACTAGTATTACTTGTGTTTTCATTTATTGCATATACGTGGGACCCCCTTCTGTATATATAAGTGTACCATATAAAATCTAATTTTATGAATTTCTTATGAAATTATAGACGGAGTAGAAAAACCTTTCCGTGCCTAATATGCCTGCATTTATTATTATTTGGATTTTACAATTACTAGTTTTTGACTGATGGATGCCGTGAGGTGAAACCCGTTGGTTTTTATCACGGAGCAAATACAAAGCGGTGTTTTAATTAGATTTCACTATGTAACAACGCGTGACAATTTGCGAAAATAGGGGGTGTTAAGCCCCGCTCACTTAACTATTTTCCATCTACCGATAAATAGTAAAACTACTCGCATCGCTCCATATCGATGTTGCAATGTAGTTTAGCTAGCTTGACGATATATGGCGGCCCGTTCACAAAATGATTATAAAAATAATATTTTGGCGATTAAAAATTCTTTAGGACTGAATTAAAACAAAACAAATTTCAGCACCCTCGTATGATTATTTTTACCAATGCTGAGCTCTACGTACCTTTATATTTTTAGTTCCCATGACAGAAAGTGTCGCCATCTAGTGTCGAATATATTTAATTATATATGAAAGCCGGCGCAAAGAGATTTTCTAGAACAATTTTAATAAATTGGGTATAAAATTACTTACAAATGAAATGTGATGCCATCCATAGCATCAGAGCGTCTATCTGAGTAGTTTTTACACGATAAAACACATCACTTTATCCTTTTCTTCTTAATACTACGAAAATACACCGATTTGCGATTTTCGACACTAGCGCACAGGACGAATGTTGACAGTATACTAACTCTCTAGTATATATACAGTAATCTATGATACTAACTAAAGCTACGCCACTGTGATAACGTTAGGACCAGTCAGGACCTAGTTCACGAAGTAGAATCACTGTGCACAGTTGGTTAGGCCGTCCCCTCTTTGTATTTGTTCCATTGTTTTTATAGTTAGTATATTAATTATTTAAAATAAATATTGTGAACCTAGTAGGGTCGTTACGCCGGTAAGCCGGCCGGGTCTAGTTTTCGGCCTTTGGCACCAGGTGATGCAGTAAATTTGATTTAATAACGATTTTAATAAATATTATCGTACAAAATTAAGTTTAATGCATGCATCGAAGACAGACTAGTACACCTCTACAAACCAGTGAAACATCGGCTTCAGTACTATTAAATAAAGAATACAGAGATGCGATAGAAAAAACATTTATTTAAACCGAAACTCGTAAAAATCAACCATTAACAGTACAAATACACCTTCTTCTGTGGCAATTTGACATGCAGTGTGGCGAAAACTTTATAAAGATAAAGAAAAAGTTAAAATAGAGAGAACTAAGTTAAAAAAAGATAATAAATTTTGATACAGAAAAGAATATAAAAAGAAAAGTTAAATAGTGCTGAAGTTCAAAACCGAAAAATCGCAAAATCCAAGAATTCCATGAAGAAAATGAAAGACTAAGAGTAAATTGCACCTGGTGCTATGACATTTTTATAAGCGATACAGAAGAAGA